TTATTACTTCCCTTCTACGTGACTTTACCGAAAGAACCAAGAAGAGGTAGTAATCTGTTTGATTTTAATTATTGTTATTAAACTCATTTAGTATTTTGTATAATGTCAATAGCATTGTTAGTTAGTGCATTAATACGTATTTTGTAAATCCAGGGCTAAAATTATGAAATGATGCTTCATTTTACTTCGGTTACGCACCCCCCCCCCCTGACAACATGGATGCTTATGGGAAAATAGGCTTCATACAGCGCATGTCGCGTGTTATGCGAGGGATGCCTGTACTTATGCGTATTATCAGTAAGTTATTAAATATTTATTAAATGTACATTTTAGGTGATAATGACATGCTTATCAATAATTTGCAAATATGTCGAGTATCCTCCATAACAGGAAAGGCTCTCCCCCAAATTAGTCGAGCTTTGAGAGATGTTGCTGTCGTTATAATACGAATATAATGTTTGTCAGAGCACATCAATACTTTGCCTTTGTGTACTTCGTATATACAGGTGTATTCTATCGGATGAGGTCATCATCATAAACTACCCTGAGACGATCAATGCTCACTGTTCAGGAGATCGGATTCACATTGCTGCAATCAGAATAGCTTTGAATGAAAACCACATTGTACCAAAGTCATCCAATTGGATTCTGTCTGATCGATTTTGTGCAGTTAAATATTATTAGCAGGGAAACACTTAAATGTTTGGCGCTTTCTCAATCCAATGTGGGATGAAGGCCTTCCCTTGTGTCGCTCACGCTGTCGCATGACCATACTTCACCACGCTGGCCAGTGCAGGCTGGTCAAGGGAGTCTATATGATTTGAGGATTTCGTGACTGCAGGAATCCACACTCTTTGAATTTTTGAGTTTATTTTATATTTTACACGGTTGACCCCGTTTCGTCAGTTGCCCGGCTACTTTACAAGGAAGATCTATGTTGCGTGAGCACAGCACAAACAAAGACAAGACAAAAACACGTTCCAAGCCATGCCAGTTGGAATCACCTGGCCAATTTTGTTCGATTGCTAGGAATCGTGCATTAAATAATATTTGTTTAGAATCGGATTTTCGATTTGATCCTGAAACGTGATTGTATTCAAAACCCATGAACCGCTCACCCACAGTATGCAGAATATATATGTATGTGGCAGCTCCCAATGGGGAAAAAACCAATCACATGCAATCAAATACTGCCAAAAGGCATAACACACTTGATGGCTCTGCTCAAAAAAGCAAAGAGGCACATCCCGACCACCACAAGCATGACCCTGTCAGGAGCGTTAGATTTCATTAGATTTGAGTTTCCCAAAGGGTACTTCAACATATCTGCCCCTTACAGACACATGTATGCACACACACACGCACATAGACTCCTGTTTATACTTACAGAATGTTGGAGAGAGTGCGGTTTGCATATATTTTGTATAGAGGCTCAAATTGATGTTTAAAAATAATGGAGATGAAGAATCCAGGGAAAAAAAAGCGTGCATTGCATAGTTTATGTAACGTTTTACAAAACACGTTTGTCCTCCAAATGATGTAAGAGCAGTATTGAATCCAAAGGGTAATTGCCATGGCAAATGGTTTTTGCATATTTTCAAATAATAATAAAATGATTATGTCTTCTTGGTTCTTTCGGTAAAGTCACGTAGAAGGGAAGTAATAAAATAATAAAAATAAAACATAATAAAATAAAATAATAATATAATTATGTTTTATTTTTAATTATTTTATTAATTCCCTTCTACGTGACTTTACCGAAAGAACCAAGAAGATGAATCCCTGCAGTCACGAAAGCTTTAAATCGAAAAATGATTATGTTTTTGATATAGCTCCCTATATGCCAAGGCGTCTCAGTGCTTTTCACATAAAGTCATCCCAAACATTTGAAAGGACACCTCCAGTGGAAGCTCTCCTTGTTGGCGCAAGGAGAGCTGCCACAGGGGCATGAGTCTGCCCAGCAGGGAGGCGATAATTGTGATGTATAATCCCAAATCGAGTACTTTTTCGATTACATTATATTTTTTGCAAAGATTCACCCTCCAGCGGTCCCATGATTTGTCATGATTCAAGGTCACGATTTTTACGTTATAATTATTTTTGTATCATATTCAGTCTTAAAAGTAACATTCACGTATCATATTTGCATACATAATAAACAGAGCTAACCAAGTCTCACACGCACAATTCCCCACGTGTATTGTCGATTAATTGATGCATCGTTACATGCCTATCAGAAAACACTTGCCCCTCCTGTTGTGCAGGGCCAGGAATTGAACCCAAATTTCCTCAATTGCAAGGCAGTAATTTGCATAATCAACGACTCGTTATTTGTAGCCATAAAACGTGTTCCTTGTAGGTGTACTCTATAAACAGGACAGCATAATTTGTGGATACCAATTGAAACAGCAGTTGAATCTTTCTTAAAGTAAGACATTTAAACGCTTCCCACATTTAAGTACAGCCATACGAATATTCACGATACTGTATTAAATGCAAATTACAGTCATCGACTACCTTTCGGCAGTCTCGAATAAAGTGGCACAACGCAAACTTAAAGAGATCCTGCATTTGCGAAAATGATGTGTAAAGTTGGAAGCTTTTGATTGAAAGCTTTCGTGACTGCAGGGATTCATATTCTTGGTTCTTTCGGTAAAGTCACGTAGAAGGGAAACAATAAAATAATAAAAATATAAAACAATAAAATCCTCACAACGTTTCGACTGCAACATAAGCAATCATCATCAGGTATTTTCACACGTAAAATTCTCACGCTGTTTCGACTGCAACACAAGCAATCATCATCAGGTGTTTTTCACACCTTATGATGATTGCTTGTGATGATGATTGCTTGTGTTGCAGTCGAAACGTCGTGGGCATTTTATTGTTTTATATTTTTACTAGCTGTACTACCCGGCTTCGCCCGGGACTTGTATCTACCACGGCCGGCCGCCTTTGTCTCCCCAGTGGCGATGTTAATACGCTACAGTAGTTAAGTTACTCGTTTGAGGCAGAGTCGACCTAGGGGAGGTTCAAATAATCGTCACCGGTGGTGGCCGTGAGCGGGAATCGAACTGGGTTTGCCGGGTTGGTAGCGCAGCGTAGCGTTAAGCACTACACCCACCGCTCCTCACACACCACACCACAGACACACACAGACACACACACAGACACACACGCAGACACACACAGACAGAAACACACACACAGACAGCACGCTAACCACTACACTACCGCTCCCCACACACCACACACGCACACACACAGACACACACACAGACACACACACACAGACACACACACACAGACACAGGCAGCACGCTAAGCACTACACTACCGTTCCCCCTACACAACACACGCGCGCGCGTCCATAGGTACACATACACGCGCTTGCTGCAGACACACACGACTTTCAGGGTGCGTAAGGCAGTAAACGACTGAAATAATAAAGCGGCAATGCTGTGTAAGGAACGCCTTAGACCCGCATTATACATTTGTGTAATGCGAGCGTAAACACACAAACACACACAAACACATACACAATACACACACACATACATGCAGACACACAGACAGACACATAACACACATACATACACACACATACAAACACAGAAACACATACACACACATACATAGACACACACATACATAGACACACACATACATACACACAAACACATGCACACACGTACATACACACATACATAGAGACACGCAGACATACACATAAAGACATAAAAAAAACCCACATACATACACACACACATACACACAAACACATACATACACATACATACACACATACATAGAGACACACAGACATACACATAAACACAAACACACATACACATGACCCGGCTTCGCCCGGGACTTGGATCCACGATGCCCCGCCGCCTTTGTCTCCCCAGTGACGATGTTCACACACGACAGCAGTTACGCTTTTGAGGCTGAGTGGACCTAGGGGAGGGCCAGGTCCGTTTCAAATAATCGTCAGCGGTGGTGGGCGTGAGTTGGAATCGAACTGGGGTCGCTGAAGCAGCTTAATGACTGTTTGTACAAAGAACATATAAAGAATCGATTATAATAACCAGGCAAGAGTCCACATTATAGACTGCCAGTACACGCACTCAGCTTCATAAGCAGGCTAGAGTGTACATGATAGAGTGGCAGTACGCTCACCGAGCTTAATAAGCAGGCTACAGTGTACATGATAGACTGGCAGTACGCTCACCCAGCTTAATGAGTATTTGTACAGTGAACATTAAAGTAATCGATTGTTGGCGCGTTGGGTTTAAAAGTAATATTAATAGCACACATTGTGGTGGGGGTGTAGTGAAGAGTAGGAAAAACTTTGATGAATTTACCTCAGAGTGGCGTGGTGGGTGTCGAGGCCTAGTAGCGTGCAAAGCCTGCGGCCTCGCCTAAAATTGTCGGCTTGGAAGAGGCAGGGTACGGGTGGCGTTCCTTCCCCCCCCCCTAGCGCTCCAACAATACTGTGTAATGGCTATTATTTAATTAAATACGGAGCTTATGAAAGTGGCGAAGGCGTGGCTAGCCGTTGGCAGGGGCAACCGCCGTCCAATGAAACTGCAGCCCTTGGCGAAGGCGTGGCTAGCCGTTGCCAGGTCCAATGAAAGCGGCGAAGGCGTGGCTAGCCGTTGCCAGGGGCAACCGCCGTCCAATGAAAGTGCGTATGGGCCAAAGTCCACACACACACACACAGACAGACAGACATGAACGATTTTATATATATAGATTATTGTATTGTTTCCCTTCTATGTGACTTTACCGAAAGAACTAAGAATATAAGTTGGAAGCTGTAGTTCTCGCAGACGTTTTTGTTAAATAGCTGACTAGATACTGCGTATTTCACCTGACCTTAGATCGAAGCTACGAACCAACGTGATGAACATGTAACCCACAGCTGGCAAGGTGGGTTGGAGCAAGCTAAATTACTATAATTGCACATTTGAGTCAGAGAATCAGAGAAGAAATACCGCCACTGCTGCCAGGATGGGTGCCTGGTATATCCACTTGAGCCATCCAGCACTAAGGTCCCAGCATCTGTATGGGTCAGAGACACGGCACGGCTAAGAATTTCCTCGTGCAAAAAACGAAGATTCAGTCCTATTGGCTGGTCTTTTTCTCTAGTCTCCAAGCAGAGTTATGTGTCAATTTCATTGAATGTTTGTACCTTTAAAAATTAATCGCGCTGTTTTTAATTAATTTATAGATGGCAGAAAGAGCCTCACAACGAGTTTTTCGGGTTGTGCCTTGTGATGTTTGTTTGACATGTTGTCTGACCCGTCGCCAATGATTCTGTTTTTGAAGAAGCTGAAAGAAGCTCCACAGCACGTGCAGGAATACTTGAGACACCGTGACGAGCAAGACAGAGTGGTAACAACCCAAAAGCACATCAGAGAGCCGTAATGCACGACCGTGAAAAGCCTACGCATTGGCTGACATAAATGTTGGACGTGTAGCAGGATTACACAGAGCCTGCAAAATAACATTCAGGTGATGACGAATCATCCTTAATATTACAGAAATTGTCATGTCAGTTATAATGAGCAATGGACAGCTGCGTGTGTATCAGGTGAAGTTTTTTCAGGCTGTGTAAATGTGTTTTCACTTCGATATGAAATTGCATTAGTTATAAAGTGGAGCAGCCAAGCCTGCTGGGAATTGCTGTCTGTTGATGCGTTGCCATGCATCTCAGGTTAACTGAGACTGCCATGCACGTAGGGCGCCTATGTCTGGTTGTGAGCTTGCGAAATCACAGCGGGAATGTTAAACCTTTATTTCGGTACATTACTGGCCGATGCACACCTTATAGGGTAAATGAGAGTGTGCATTCGGGAAAGAGTAATAACTACACAGACTTTAAAATCGTGCAATTAATCGTGCAAGGAGGCATCGTGATGTTTATGTATTATAGTTCATCAAGTACGTCTCTGAAAATAATGTACAGCTATTTGTCAATCCACTGCTGGATCAAGGTCTGTTCCACACCATGACAGTCATGGGATTTGTGTGATCAAGTTGGTGAATGTTGATAGGTGAATGCGAGATGTATCCTTGGACTATTTAAGTTACGATAATAATTTCTACTTATAACGCACACAGTACTCGCTCCCTCTCGAATAAAGAGAATGATTTGGAGATGCTATGGACCACAGACAAGTGGGCAAGGCAGCCAGGTGTGAGCCAGCACCACATTTCCCTCCAAAGTTCTGCAATCGATACATTTAGGTGTTATCAGGCTAATTGATGAGTGTTTATATATGGGAAGATACCAGAGGAGCGGGAGAAAACCCACACGTGCAAGGGGGCAACAGTTGATCGCACACAGTGTGGAACATGTGGACTCCACATTTGCCATACCGCTTTTTTTCTGGAAAAACGGGATATGAAACCTCGGCACTCACACGAAGCGAGTTTCACAACATTTGTTGTTATCCACCAATCATCGTCTCCACAGTGCTCGATTATAGGCATGCGCCACCACTGCCTGGCTAAAATATTTCTTTCGCCCAACGTATTAAGCATGTTTGGGAATTGATATGTTGTATCAAAATTATAGGAAGCTCCATAAAACTAGACCCACCCCAAGGCTGAGCCTGTGTCATTTATACAAAACTGATTACACACACAACTTTTGATTTAAAACAATTTGGAATTAAAATGCGTCGACTTCTATTTTTGAGGGGGAGGGGTTCGCTTTGTCCCTCACATTAGGAATCGCGGGTGAATATAATTAATTTACTTTTTTTGTTATTATCTTAATTGTAAACAACTGAAACTAAATTATTAAAGGTGTCCAGTTTGGAAGGGCGTTGCACCCCCTGCCCCCCCCCCCCCAACTCCGCCCATGGACTAATGCTTTATTATTCTGACTCTCAGAGGCGTAATTTTTTTAATTGCAAATTATACATTTGTACAAGTGCTTATAACTGCGTTGTGAGTTTTGCTACGGTAACAACAGTTCGTCCGATCGTGTGCCGACGGAGGAATGTGCGTTGTGCTCACTGGGAGTTTGCCAGAGTCGCCCTGGCTGCAGCCCAAACGAACACAAACACAACGGGAAACCCTGCAACAAGGCAGCAAGGGGAGAGGGGAGGACGAGGTGGGATCGGTGGAGTTGGTCATAGGGGAAGGTGGGACAGAGCAAGATTAGAGGGCTTGGCGCATGGCAATAGACAGCAAACACGCCGGGGCGTTGCGTTTACCTGGCAGTTGGTCGCAGTTACATTGCTATTAGGGGCATAGCGATGTTCTCCCTCATGTTGCAATCAATTATTCAAGGTCGCGATTCAATTTAAATTTTACGTATTTTTTGTTTACTGTAGCAGCATCTAGTAGCCGCAGGGATTAACATTAACTCGTTACATACAACATTCGCAAATTGAAACATGTAGATTGTTACGTGTGATACGCTGCATGGATTGTAAGAATAAGAATCAACGGATTAATGTATTGTTCAACCACTGCTAAGATAGATAGATTTTATTTTTTTCAGCAGGAATGGCCAAAAAAGCAAGTCGGCTCTTTCATGGGCGTCCTGCGATGGTAAAGACATTGTCGGATTAATCAAATTCCAATGGCAGGAGCCAATCTATCGATACAACAGTCGACGTTTACTTCCCATAAATCGGTGCTCATTCTATTGAACTTCTAAAAATAATGGGCCATCGTGACCCCTAACTTGGATGTGAACTTGAAATCTGATTTTGAAGCCCAAACGCTCAGCCAAAAGTGCCACTGAGCTGGAAAATTAGTTCCCGACTTTTGAAATAAATTTTTCGGTTGACGTAAATCGTTGGACCCATATGACTTGCAAGCATTTTTTTCATTACTGGTATTAAAGCATATTTAACTTGTGCTGCTGCGTTGGAGCATTACCCCAGCCGATGAGAGCAAATGTCCACAGGCGTCCAGATGCAGAGAAGGTGAGGAAGATGAGGCTGTAAAGGTAAAGCCCTTCAACCAGCACCCAGAAGTAGCTGGTGGCCAGGCAGTAGAGGAACAGAGTCACCACCACCCTGCAGCCTGCCTGTTGGCAGTAAGCCACACAGAAGGCTACGTTTAGCTTCATAAAATGTGTGGGCAAGCGCTGTTAGCGAGCAGCTATTGTAGGGCTAGCACAGAAGAGTATATGGTATGATCAACACTGGGCATGAAACATTGAAGACGCTCATCCAATAATATTAATATATACCAGATACAAGAGGAGGCTAATTGATGCGCGAGAGGGCATACCTGTCACACCCCAAGGTGAACAGGACATGGCTATGACTCCTGGCAATCCAGCATTACTCAAGCCTGCCCACCACAAAGGTCCTTAATAATCATGAGCAGAGGGTCGAGGACTCTGAACGCAGGAGGAATAACACATATCCCGGACCTCTTAATGTATATTGGGCATTGATCAGGTAAATAAAGCAGAGATATAGATCCTGTTGAAATCCCCCACACCTCTGCTATGGCAGACGGATGGGAATAGGGCGTTTGTACAGGATTTCCTTGACCTGAAGCCACATTGGGCCTCTGCAAGGTTATGCGCAGAGTCCCTGACAAGGCAACGTGGAATGATCATTGCAAGTACCTTTCATGGCACACTGAGGAAGGAGATATGGTTATTACAAACAATGCGGCCCCCCTACACCAGGACAATTATTCCAATCCTGTGGTCCAGGCAAGCGTAATGATATAATTTAAGGAAGCCTGTTCACGAGGGTCAGAGTTTGAATCTCCAGGTAATAGGAGTGGTGCTGAAAGTTACCTTTAAATATGAAACTCCAGAGTGATTTGTGATTGTGGGGGTGTTGATGCAGCTTCAATCTCCTTAGAAAAATGGGCGACCATCACTTATCTGTGCAGGACTACATGGCTTTACTCGCCTACAAACTGAATGACAATTATTTAGCCAAAATAATTTTAATGTTACATATTTGAAAAACAAATATCCATGCGTTTATTCGTGACTTTAATTGTGGCAAAGCTCAGATGTGTCAATGTAGCTCTAAACAAGGCTTAATAATGTAATTTTCATGAAGTAGTAACTTTTATGTTTTAGATTAATTGTAATGCAACGAACACAAGAAATTGATGTATTACAATACATATGGAAGTCACCAATACAAATGAGTAAATCGGACACTGACACTTAATCAATTGCTAATTTGCTCATGACAATGACATGAACTTTGAAGCGATAAGCACAAATACACAAACACCCACACATCCCAGCACTTCCATCTATAATGAATTACACAGGAGACAAGCCTTGCCAACAACCAATCATTCGCAAGAAGAAGAAAAAACTGATTAAGGGATTAAGTCTAATTTCATGAGCTCAGTTTACAAACATATGATAGGAAATGTTATTTTCTCACTTGTTTCGTCCTGCATTCTACCTGGGCACAACAACCCTCTAATAACAACAGCAGCGGCAATGACAGCATTCTCTATTTCAAATAAACAAGAGTTTAAAGACTCTTTTCATGAGACGCCTGCTTGGGATCTCTGGCGACATCTTAAGTGAGAGTTGTGTGCATCTGGGAGGAAAGCATAGCGTTCCTAAAACAAAAATACCCCAACGTAGTCTGCACATGCAAGTCAACTGACTGTTGTACTTATCTCCTACATCCACCTCATATCCCTGTAGGATGAATGTCTCATTCGTGTAATGACACTTTCTCAATGTGATCCAACAGCCTCACCTTTGAGCCATATATTCTAGGTTTGTTTTACCACTTATAGCCAGCATGCTCCCAGATGATATATTCGTCATTAATTGCATTTGGCAGTTGGAGATAAAACATCACCTTTGTACTTCCCTTTGGACGCTCAATCTAGTAATAATCATATAAATGTCTCAGTTGTCAGTCCGCCCTGTCAATAATGGGGAGTTACAGGACATTTGGGGGCTCTAAAATATAATCAATGATTGACTCTGATGACCCTTGTCGGAATAACTTTGCCAAATGTAATTCTAGATTTGAAGCTTTCGTGACTGCAAGGATTCTTATTCTTAGGTTTTTTCGGTAAAGTCACGTAGGTAAAACATCAAAATTAATGAAAATATGCAGCTAATCCGGCTGTGACGGTCCCACCTGATGACGGAGACTTGTGTTGCCTCCGAAACGTCGTAATTTTTATTTTATTTTATTTTCATTAATTTTGATGTTTTACCTACGTGACATTTGGATAGGGTGTAGCTGTCACCGAGCCTCTGCTGTTATTCTCACAGCTGTCCAGTGGTTTTTGCGTATCGAATAACGAATCGCGCAGTGTCCTCTGCTGTAAATGTAGGCACCGACTCGCCTGAACGCGCTGATTAAAGCAGCGACTTGAGCGCTGCCATTTGCCGAAAAGCCACGTTAAAACAAACTACTGCCACCTCATCACTAACATGATCATTGAAGACTATTTAAAATGACCTGTGTAACCCATCTTTAACTAGTTTACACTGATTAAGAGTTTGAATTTCACAGCCGTGTGCAAAATTGCGTGGAAATTAACAGTGCACGCTACCATACATTGGATAATAAAGAGCCAGAAAGCTCATGTAAGAGCAGGCACTCGTGTGATGTCAGAGCCCAAAAGCCAAATAAAAGAAAAACATTCTTTATATTTGTTTAGTATTTATACGGAAGGTCTACATGGAATGCATGTAAGACGACAACCACTGAGGATCAGGAGTCATACATTCCGGTGTTGTGCAGAAGCTGGATGGATTGTTGCACGAGAGGATTGTGAGAGATAGTGGCCAGCTTGGAGAGGCCTTCATGCAGGAGTGGATTGACCATGGATGATGAAAATACAGTAAAATGCCAATATAGTAACCAATGTCCCGTTTAACTCAAATATGTCTAAAATATATGTAACAATTCTAAGTTACACGATTAAATAAAATACAGTTGAATGTGCGAACCACAATTGTTCACTAAAGCAAGTGTAAAGCCAGGGCCCCGTATGTTACCAGTACCCAATCTCCGTGGATGTTATAGCAGGGAGAGACTGTTCCGACTCGGAGAATCCTGTCGCTAACTGAGCCCACATGCTAATCGGTCTCTGCCCAGTGGTTCTCTTGGGCGGGGAGGGAAATATTTTGCTCATCCCGGCTTCCCTCGATCCACTCGTTATAATCACTGTTACCCTAGAGCAGCGGTCGGGAACCTATGGCTCGCGAGCCATATATGGCTCTTCCGGTGACGGCATATGGCTCCCAGACAATTTTGAATTGAAAAAAAATAATAATAAAAAAATCAGTTTGGAACTGATTTTAAAATACTTGTGATATTGCTTAATAATACTGTGTCATTTTAAAGTAAACAGAAATTAGTTTTGAAGATAAATTTCACGGGTCACGCCTGCATGAAGCTCAACCTCACCACGTCGTATGAACCAGACTACAAGGCCATCAGCAAAACCATGCAGCACCAGAAGTCGCATTAAAAGTAAGACATATTTAATTTATTATACGTTAAAAATACTATATGGCTCTCAATGAAATATATTTAGAAATATTTGGCTTTCCCAGTCAAAAAGGTTCCCGACCCCTGCCCAAGAGGCAGTCCCCCATGTTTTCCCTTCTGTCCGGCCAGTGAACTCCCGTGCAAAAACGTACAAATATGTACGGCGCTTCAGCGGGAGGTGATGGTCCTGGGGTGGAGAGCCTCAGTTCATTGTCGGAGTAGAGGACACCATCCTTGACGAAGATGCTCGCGGCCCGCAGCATGAACGACACAAACAGGTGCATGTGGATGTAGTTGCGCGTGCAGTGAAGCCTCCTGCAAGCCAAACATCGGCGTAAACATAAAAAAAAAATAGGAGCCTGCTATTCATTCACATTGGCTTGTGAGCCATTCATCCCGGCAGGCCACGCGCTCTCTGTCTTGGCAGAGATGAAGGTAAAAGATGAAACGCATCGACAGAGTGCCCCGTGAAAGCTTAAAGGACCCTCTGCCAGTTTGTGATTGTTCACACAGCTTTTATCCGTGTTCAGAAAACAAACATGGGGTGCAAGTTGGCTCATGCGTGATGCCCATATGTAATAATCACAATAATGCCATTTGATGACCCAGGAAAGCTTTGTTGAGTCTCAAGACTTTATATAGGGTCCTGCATTACGATGTTTGGCTAATGTAATTAATGAGTGTTTGACGTGTGGGAGGCGTATCATAATCAGCATATGTATTTATCCTGGCCGAATTCGATGAGCGATGAAGCTCTTTTACACGCTTTTATTTAACTCTGTCTGTTGTATCCTCAACTCTGTCTGTTGTCGTATACTAAAATCTTGTAACTCAATTTTAACCCACTTCCCAATGTCGTATCGACTGCAAACTTGGTATACGTATGTCATACTGATGACAAAACTATATTCTTTCAATAAAAAAAACATTTTTTTTAAAGCAATCTTTTTTAAATGTTATGTTTCGGCTTGGGTCTAATTGTCCACGTTCAACTAACGTTGGCTGTAAATCACCACAGTTCCTTACGTTATGGCAAGCTTCGGGGCCACTTCCTGGAGTCGTGGAGTTCTGCCATTACTCGTACGGTACATTTCATTAAAGCGTGTTTTAAAAAAAGTATATTTTAATATTACTTGTTTTGGTAGATGTCCAGTAGGGGCGGGTCAGAACGTTGCAATAACAAACAATTCTAAAACACGAAAGGAGTGTAAAGTATAGGAAGGATAAACAAATCCACTAAAAAATATTTACAAATAAAACTAAACACATTTTCTCGTCTTACCAGGTAATGCCTACTGATCTATTAACGTATTTTTCACACGCGACGTCGCTGAAAATGATAGCTCAACAAAAGTGTATAAAGAGCACCCAGGCCTATGAGGGGACGACACTCAAAATTGTCATATCATTGGCCGCGTCAGAGCCCAAGGAGTAAATGTGCCTTACTTTGGAGCAAGGAGGCTTCCCACTGACTCTTAATAATGCTGCGAATTTCTCTTCGGTTGCATTGAAACAGCAATGGAAATTCCACATTCTTACGAAGTGATCTGTTCTCTCCCACTATTCATTCCCCCCTCCAAAGTGACCAACTTGAAACCCGAAGTAATGATGACCTGAGTTTACCCCGACCTAGATATGAACTGGCAACTTTATGATTGCGAGATGAACACTCTAACAACAGTGCTGCTTGGCCATATCCCGCAAGGAAAATGGGATAGAATTACCTGACAATTACCAAACTGCCCATTTCCTCTTGAGCTCTGCTGGATACGAGATCATGTCTGGTTAAGGTCGGAGTTAACCTCTCGCTCCAGGAGATATTTACTACGAGGACACGCTTGGCACATGAGTGGTGGTGATAATCATGACAATGACAATAGTGATAATCCATGAAGGTGATGGTGCTTTCAATAAAGCAGCGAGTGCAATGTGTTTCTTTTTGCTTCCATGGCAATTACCTGAACATCGTGAGGATGCATAGAGCAATAGCCAAAGACGCCAGCGACACTGAGTACCCGATCGTGTAAAGAATGGAGAGGCGATGTATGGATTCCTGCACGTGAACACAGGACACCAGTGTCAGATCAAAGAGCATCATACAACAATTAAATACACAGGTATATCCAAGACATATAAGCGTTTATATGTTCTCAAATTTTGCCAAAAAAACTCTACAACTTTATAAAATCAAACCGTATATGTTCAAATAAAGGTTGGCACTGCTCATCTCCGTTTGGTGGCTTGTCAATTGGAGACAATCTACATTATTCTACATTCTCAACACAAAAATAATACTTGCAATTATACTGAGAACTGCTTAATGCCATTATGTGCTTAAATGTGTACCATCTATTCCTGTTAATTAGGTATTGCCTTTCTATGGAATATAACAATTGCAGAATTTGGAACACATTAGACCCACTCGTACACAGCACTGAATTTGATTTAACATTTGTGCTAATTTAACTTAAAATTGCCTCTGCACCTATCCTTACAGATAAAATTACTTGATTGTGCCTGTAAGCAATGCTTTTTAATTGGTGACAGAGCTGGAATATTAGAAGCATGTGTTTCATCCAGTGTTAAATAGCTAAATGCAATTTTCATTTTGGTCATATCATTGCTCTTAATTGTTTTCAATTTTGCTATTGGGTAAGAGGTAATATGAGAACATCAACATCAAATTGCTTTAAGGTTCAGTGGAGTGTGAGGGTTAATTGAATTATATCTGTTCATATTGGCAATTCATTGTGAGTGTATAAATTCTCAGCTGCAAAAAAATACTAATATAAAACAAAGCCATGGTATTTATGAATTTCTGAATTAACGTTAAACTACGTAGAACCCACACGTCGACTTGAATTGGGCAGGTTAATCAGGCGAGACGTTAAGCCGTACGAGAAATCGCACCACCGTGATGTAAATTCAGCTGGGCCACTTATGAATATCTCTGTTCTTACTTGAACAGCGGATTTTAAAAAAATTAAGTCTGAAATATAGACCCAGCTGGATCCTGGTCACAGCTTAGGCCAAATGTTGCTCATTCAATTAATACATTACTTTATTTAAAGGTGTATGACATCCCATCAAGATGAGATACAGGGCTTCCATCTATTAAACAAAAATATAATTATACAGAAGTTTGAAATAGATGGATAAAACTACACACAGACAAACACTCGGTAATGTGAATATTTCATCGTACGAGTCTCATTATTCTATGTCCGCCATGGTGTTAGCATTTCATGTCGCATCGATATTTAAGAGAGTCCCTGGCGTTCACCAGCTTTTCAGCTGCGATTGTTTAGTATTCTTCTGTTATGTCGCTGTTGTAGATCACTCAAGAGTTTTGGTTTAATAAAACTTAAGCGCACAATTCAAACATTTGAAAAATGCTGTTCACAATACGGTCTCAGTCGAATTCGTTATTTACGGAATGTACTTATATGGACACCCTGTTTTTCTTTTGCATGGGAGACTTTGGTTAAAGAGTATAAGAATAAACATCCTTAATACAAAATGAACAATCTCGATTTGAAGTTTTCGTGACTGCAGAGATCCATACTCTTTGGTTCTTTCGGTAAAGTCACGTAGGTACAAAATAAATTAAATCACGACGTTTCGGGCGCAACACAAGCGTCCGTCATCAGGTGGGACAACCACAGCAAGAAACAATTTCTGAAGTGGGCAAAAGGGCTGCTTGTAACAAGAGGCTATATAGGTAAGAGAGAGGGGGGAGGAGCCAGGGAGGAGAGATCTCTCCTCGCTTGTGTTGCACCCGAAACGTCGTGATTTAATTTATTTTATTTTATACCTACGTGACTTTACCGAAAGAACCAAAGAGTACGAAATGAACAACATTACATTCACAGTCCAAAATTAGATACGTAAATTAATTATTCAAGTGTGTGGGAAACTGGAGTTGTGCATTAACATTTGATTTCCCTTGAGGAGTCTGGACACCCAAATAAATGAGGTGAACGTATCTCGAGGGACCTATTATGTTATAAATGTTTTGGCACTATAATGTGAATTAGCAAGTTGTATAAATAATGCATGCTCATGGCAATGTATAATTAGACACATGTCAAAGTAAATGTAACTTAAAATGAGTTGTCAAATTAAAAGTGATCATCTTTAGAGTTTTGGACATTTCTTATTTATGGGTGTAAATTACGTGCGTAACAATTTAAATTCCTTCACGGTTCAATGATTTGGCAGACTTTGGGTTCACGAATTGATTCAAGAACTGATTCTTTTTCTTTAACTCAGTGGTGAATGTAGCATCTCTGATGGCTGCAGGTGTCACATGGACGCATGACAGAATCAATCCTTACATGCACAATTCTGTATCGTGAGTATAAGAATCGATTTTAATCGATAAATTACTGCACGAATCAACTATTATATATATTGTTTCCAATACATTTAAAAACTCACTTACATTAATTTTCATAATTCTACATGCAGGCCTTCACAACCAATATGATCCATAATTAGTTTATATAATACTCAGTTCCATGATTGACCTCCGATTAACATGGTTGGCTACGTACGGACCGAAAGAAGTTTAATATACATGCATATATATGTGTAAATGTTTAACTATCACCCTCCACCACCCGACAAAGCCAATCAAATCAAGCTGTCACATGGGCAAATGTGCCAATTAATTAGTTTTTTACCTATTCTGCTCTATTAGTACATGAAGATGACCTTTCAAGATCAATATGGCGTTCTGTTATTGCTACACTGTTTTGAATGGGAAGTAAATTACTGCTCTCAGAAAACTAATTTCCCGCAGTAATGAATGTGTGTATGTCATCAGTAAACAAGTTAAGACTCCGTTGAGCCATCATTGAGCCATCCTGTCGTAAAATCAAAAGTTCGAATTCCTATAATGGGGCACGTTCACCCGATTTTTTTGGAGGCAATGTGCTGACATCTCCTCTATCAACAATGCAATAAAATGCCGAAATAAAGTCTTTCAGCCATTTCATCAAGAGTGAACGTGGCCCAAAGTGTCTTTACGCTTTAAGAGTGCATTGGGCGAATGCACATCTCCATTGACAGCCCCTGGGGGGGGGGGGGGACCTCTCCGCATGATGACCACTGTTAACCCCTAATAAAGTGGTACTCAATTAATTGACCCGGAAAGGATAATGGACATGGCTTCAATAGGGATTTTAACTCACAATCTTCTGGCTGAGGTCAATCATGGAACTGATTATTACAGTATCATTAAGCAGCAGGAATGCCTTCACACGTGAGGGTGAAACACACATTGGCTTATTTCAGTGAATGACCCGTCTTTGTTACACGGTCTTCAATATCCAGTCTCTAGCAGGTGGCACACTTTTGAAATTACACCTCACTGGATTGCTTGCGGAAATGGAACTGTCGAACCTGTGTGAAATGGCTCATTGGTTCGCCCAAGCTGACTGCTACGCTACACGCATTTATGACCGCCCACTGTCCACTCGCTCAATGAGTGGTTATTTATTGTGTGGTTGTCACAGCCGGTCTGAAGATAGCTGACCCAACTCAATCACCCGATAGTCAATGCCCAGCCGTGCATTGCAGAGGGTAAATGAGATGGCAGGCTAGATAGACGTTATTTCCTTCTCCGGAAGACTTGTGCACGCCTACGTTCTCATGCTGGAAGATTGGTTGCCGGTTCGTCATCAATATGTTGATTTAAGCATGTGGCAAGATAAATAACTATTGTGCCTGAATATGGGAAATGAAGCGACTGGAGATACGATCAAAGTCAAATATTGAGACAAAGTATTGCCCGTTGTAGGTTGGTGCAATCTTCGTCTCGTTTATTTAGAAAAAAAACATTCACAGCCATTTCATTGCTGGATGAAGTCCTTGCCATTCTACGTCAGTCGTCGTATCACGATCAGTATCACCATCGCGCAACAGCCATGCTCTATCCACTGCTGGATGAAGGCCTCCTGCGTATGAGATGATCCTCGTCACCCCGCCTTCATGGTGGTCAAGCTCTCGGGCATGTTTTCCCTCCTTTGGCAGCCACACGATTGTCATTCTCGATCATTGGTCATCAATATGTCCTTGCTTAGGCCCACTTGCTTTGCTTATCAATCAACGTCTCTCGAATTGTTTGTTTGCTTTGTGAGCCATGCGTGCTTATTTACGTATTTCAGTGACATTTTAAGGAAGCGCCTTTGAATTAATTTCCCACAACACAGACATTATCTATATCAACAAAAGCGGAAACGTGCATAGAGATAGTAGCTATCCGTCATACGAATAGCACACCGATCCCATAACACTGTCATGAAACAACAACGATGAGTATTTTTTGTTCGCTTTGCCCTGATGGTACAGACACAATGAATTCTTAACAACGTGTGTCATGCCGACATTTTGTTGTGAATTGTAATGTGCGATTGCTGAGTAAATTGTGGTGTGGATTCCTTCACCTTTTCCTTGGCTTGTACATGTGGATTGAGAAACTCGGTGCATTCGGAGTAATTTGCCCACAACCGGTTTGCTGTTGACATTTTCCAGGTCCCATTACTCTCACATTTCCTATAAGCGTGACCTGCAGCATAAAAGACACTTTTGTACAGTCGCTTAGCTTTTCATAATTAATTAAGTGTTGAACAAAATAAATTGACAGATCTAATGTTCCTTGAAAATCTAGAGAGTGGGAGGCAGACCCTTTGCTTGTAAACAGCATCAATCTACGTGCCACTGTCTTCTTGCCACTTAATCTATGTGACACTCAGTCCACCTAAATGGATTTTCGTAAGTGACTGGGGAGAAGATGTTTCACTGGTCTTTACACAAACTCATAATGACAATGTTATTGTTTTAGATTACATGTGGAGACTCAGAATGGAGTCCTGCGTATAACGTGCTCTTACCGGTGCTGTAACGATTTTGGAACGAATGGCCATGCTCGCATTGCATTACATACCAGATACTGTAATTTTCACATTCGGTGTAGGTAATGTAAAGGTACGTTTTCCTGCGTAGTATTTACTCGTATGAATGTAATTTTTCAAAAGGACCCATATTTGTGGGGTGCGTGTTTTATTTCGGAGCATCGTTTATTCTGGTATACAGTACTATGTTAATCTCTGACATCAATAAAAAGTTTATATCATTTGCTGGGGACTGCTAATAGAGATGAGCACCTCCCAATGCTCGTTGGAGTGTGGAGACACATTTACTTTGACCTGATAATAAAAATAGTAATAATGGGACAGTGTCTTAAAAGTTAATAGTGGCTATGTCAGATAACTGACCCATCAATTTCCAAACTGTATTTTCCAATCCATTGTTATCAAGCAAAATTGGCACGAAAATGTCTCTCGCATATAACAACGCACTAACTTTATCTTCCAATATCGCATAAAATCGCTGCCCGTAGCAAAAAAAACTACACTAAAACTGCAATTTGCACTCGATAGGATTCACCTCTCTCAGGGTAGACAATTGTGATTGAGTCGAAACTCAATTAAAATGTTGAAATGTGTGAGGCCTCCGGGGTAGCCAGATATTGGCTGAGTTTTCGTTATGTTCTTTAATATTTTTTCCCTGCGCTATTTCTGAACTTGATATGCGTGTTCTGCTGCTGGTGGTGATTCTAATACTAGGAAGAAAAATATTTGTGCTTAATACGTTTTCGTATAATGAAATTAATGAATAAAAAAGGAAAGTAAGGTTTTGATTCATTACTTGAAGTTTGAGAGTCAGCTTCAATGATACTAAATTAGCACACATTTAGCGCCCTGCAAAAAGTATATCATTATTATATACATCATCAATCATTATTGTTGACATCTGGTTCTCCAGTGTGCAATTAACATATCATTACAAGTTGGATAAACAACTTTCAATAAAAGAAATACATTTGTCACAAATGATTAATGTGTGCAATATTTTCATTCCATTAAACAACCATTTCATGTTGGGCTTTACCAGTCTTTTAGCTTAGAGTGCATTTTTAAGAATTCCGAACGATATTTTACAATCTATAAGGCAAATGTAAATTATACCCTTCGGTGTCGCATATATGAAACACCACTCCCACGCTTAAGGCCGAATACACATTCCTGGGATGTTGCTGTGGTGTAATGGTGATCACAATGGACTTTCAGTCCAGAGGACACTGGTTCTATGTGACCTCCCGGCAGGGGAAGTTGACACATTTCGGTATGTTTCTTACATTCAGCCCCACCTCTTTCCACTCGGCAGTATAAATAGGTAGGCCACAGTGAGTCGTTCGGCAGATCACATGTTGTGGGTAAAGTGTGGTTACTCCTACCTATTCCAGGATGACTGGCCAGCGTGGAAGAGTAGGCCAAATACTATCTAGAGGGGCTCTCTAGAGCTCCATCGAGTGGCGGCCCTTGCGCCAGCAGTGACGTGAACAAAACATTGCAGGATTGCTCCTTTCACTTTTACACATTGCTATAAAATGGTAACGTTGCACTGACCTCACATGGTTCCAAGTTATACGAACTTACCGTGTGCGTTAAAGTCGTAGATGTAGGAAGGGCATTTCTCACGCACCATTGAGCCTGGCAGCCCCCACGACCAGCAGATCAAGCCATCCCACTCAGCAGTGCAGCGAGTGTCTGTGGCACATATAAATGCTGAGTTCCTGCTCATAACAATGATGGGAAGGCAATGAGGGAGTGATCAGTATAAGATAGATAGAAAAAGCAAACCCCTTAGGAGCAAGTCCAGGTGTGCTTATATTTAAAGTTTTCCTTTTCCTCCTCCCCGCCAACCAGTGTAATGTAAGGATGCATTTCTCTTAACCTAACTGTGCTTGTAGAAGACGTTCTTATATCCAGTCTCTGCTGTTTTCGCAAATATATAAATACAAGTTCATCTCTGCCATAAAAAATAAATGTAAAACATAATAACACAATTCTTTTTTTAATTGAGAAATTCTGGAGAAACTCGATACTCACCAGACCTGGCTTTCAGGAACGTTTACATATTTGCAAGTTAAATAATCGCTTTGTTGAGAAAGAAATGTCCTAATGATAACGAAGTTAGGTGTGCTGTGAATGGATGGTTCGAGGTATGAGACAAATAACTCTTCCTGGCACAGATTAAGTCTTGAAACATTGGCGGGCCAAGGGTATTACACTTTATTTGGAGAATGTATGTGTTTAATCATTAGCTCTATGATGTGTTTTTGCGGTTGTATCAAGTGTTATTCCTGCAGCTCTCTAGCGTGTGGTGCAAAACGTTAGATATTATGCCAATCAATGCACAGCACAATCCAAAAACACATTGAATGGCCGTACCACAACATTTAAAGAGTAGTGAGTTTCATGATCGTTATTCGTAACTTGTTTTTGTTAGGCCACAGTATTTTCAGTGCCTTGTGTCCATGTAATCATCACAATGTCCTCTATTGTTGTTTGGTTTTCCGATAATTTAGCCATTTCTATTTAAGTAATTATTCTACCACATGTATCTGAATTAGCATCAAATCAACAAATGTAATATACATAAATATAGAAATAATAGTACGAACCGTCCCCGACTTACGAACGGGTTCTGTTCCATTGTCACCGTTGCATTGGTTACATTGCCAGGTTGTGTGAGAAACTTTCCAGATTTTGTTATCAATTCTTTTTTCGGACGGATGCTCTCAACGTCATTACACAATGCAACTGATGGAACGTTTTAATAAAGTGTGGCCCAAAGATTCACTTATAATCCTTTAAAAAACATGCACCTATTGTAACAATAGTTGTCTGCTGCTACGAAGTGACGGTAATTTCCCCAGTGCATGTGTAGTGACGTGGAATGAGTCACTGGAGCGCGTGCCGCTTGGAGATTGGGAGAAAAATAGATTTAGGGGTAACAGCCCGTTCTACCAGTTGCACCTGTGGGTAAGGCACAGAGCCATCTCGGGGATTCAGAGGGGTGTGGAGCCAAGGGTGGAGCCTGGTCACACTGTTCAGGATATAAGGCGAGCTCCGACTCACAGTCGGGGCTGCTGCGATCTGGAGTGGAACTCGTTGTGCCGTTGTCGTTGTGATCTTCACCCTCTTCAAGCTGTGGGTCTGGCAGCATGTTGGCTGTCCTGACCCGGTGTGTGGTTATCCCCTAAGGCTATGACGGCCGGAATAAAAGAGAGAGTACCTCCTGCTCGTGTCTGTGAATTAGCACACTACATTTGGTGTCAGGAGTGTTAACAACATTTTTTTTTTCATTTCTATTGTAGGGTTTTTAGGAAAAAAAAATTCCTTTCGAATCCTTGAGGGGGAAATAGGCTATGGCGGAATCCATGGTTCTCATCAGAACGTCCTCGAGCGAAGATGACGACGGCGAGGAGGGTTCTTGGGCAGCCCCAGCAGTCGAGACCTCGGCAGGGGGTCCCGGAGTGGCGGTCCCGGCGGGGCAGCGGGTGAAGAACGACGATCCTGCGCCGTCAACGGCTGGAGAAGGGCTGCGGGCACTCAGCGCGCGCATCGTGGAGCTGTTCTCCACGGTGACGGCACTGGTGGGGCAGCTGGGCAAGGAAGGGCCGGTGGAGGCGACTCCGCCGTCACTGCCGACCAAGGGCGGATATCGAGTCCTGCCGAAAGCAACTTGCCGGGGACGGCTCGTCCGGGGGCCCCTTCCCAGTGGCTGCCGTTTCTCAACTAATTTTCGGCTGCGGGGGATTATTGGGCGGTCTTCCGGCGGTGGTTCGCTGCCACTTGTGGGCTCACGGGGTGGTCCTATGCAGAGGCGCTACGTATTCTTCCCGCCACGCAGGACGACGCAGCCTTGGCGGTGTTTTTTTCCATTCCCGAGGTGGACAGAACGACACTGCATCAGGCGTATGGCCAGTTGGCGGCAATTTTTGACCCGCCGTCCAACGCGCGGTGGAAATTCGTGATGCGGAGTCGGGGGCAGACCGAGATGCCCCTTGCCTGCCGCAGCGCACTACTGTCACTGGCCCAGGATGCGTATCCCAGGATAGAGCGGGCAGGACTGGATTTTCTGGTGCTAGAGAAACTGTTGACGCTGGCTCAGGAAATGAACGTTTTTTTAATTCATGTCGCCCGATGCATGCAGGCCCACTGTAACCTGCGACGATGTGCCGGGGTGGCGTCCAGGGCTGGATTTCCGGGAGAAGAGGGCGACCAGGAGCACCGGGAGTCTCCCTGGGTCTGCGCGTTGGGTGGTTGGAGCCCACGGGGGAGAGTCGGAGCGGGACGACGACGGGACCAGCGGGGGGGATCTTGCCTCCGCCTTGGCGGAGCCCCGTTACCTGCTTCAGGTGTGGCCTGCCGGGCCACACCTCCAGGAGCTGTCGTGATGATTTGGGGCAGTTTTTCGCAGCTTCGCCCTGCCGGCCTCCACTCCTCTGGGTCCAAAGACAGGTCGCGATGCGTCACACACCCGGCCGACACAGCCACCTCATGCATTCCCATTGCAGTCAGTGTCGGGTGCACACGCCATCGCCCCTCATAGGGATACGGGGTACAAAGGTGGTGCTTCGGTGCGTGATGGTTGGCCACGGGGGTCCGGGCAATGGACCGCACTGGCACGCCGTGTCATGGCAGCGGTAGCGGGATCATCCACAGTATGTGGATTTGTGCAGGGTGTTGAGGTGCAGATGGTCATAGATACGGGGGCATCCGCCACCATGGTTTCCGAGTTAATTTTTAGGACTCTGCCGTCGACGGTGAGTTGCCTTAGTCCGGTCGATAATCCGTGTGTTGCCGCTAATGGCATTGTGGGCCAAATTAAGGCATCGATATGGATTGGCGATATTGAAAGGACGGGCCCGGTGTTGGTTTCACGTTCATTGGCGGTGCCTTGTTTATTGGGGATGGATTTTTTGAAGAGGATGCCCCTACGAATTTATTTGAACAGGGTTGTGTGGATTTACTGTCGGGGCATCGGTTGAGGTTTTTGGAGTCCCCAACTGGGTGGTGTATGGCTAACGCTGTGGTTCGGGCCCTGGTGTGTGAAACTGTTAGGGTTCCCCCGGGTGCACAGGTGCTTGTACCCTTGAGGCTGCAGAAGTGGCTCGAACCAGAAAATCACTGGGGGTGGGGTTATTTTAACCCCTTCCAATAAAGTAGTTCATGGGCTCACTTTGATAGGGGCTCAGACAATAGTGAGGGGGGATCAGGAGCCCTTCCTGCAAGTATTAAATGCTGGGCTGGATACCGCGGTCATACAGGCTGGTACAGTGTTGGCCCACGCGACGGCTGCATGTTGTGAGGATACGGATGATGTAATCACTCGGGTCGTCGCCGTGATTGAAGGGGAAGCGGTGTTGGATGACTCGTGGATGGATCCGTTGTGCATGGGTAATTCGGATTTGTCGTGGGAGCAGAGGGGCAAGTTGCGGGCATTGCTTCGGGAATTCTCCGATGTATTTAGTAAGGGTAAATTCAATGTGGGCCGCACGTCCCCGATGCATCACCATATTGATACGGGTGGCGCCGCTCCCATTTGTCAGAACTCATTTCAGTTTAGTCTGAAGGAAAAGGTCTACGTTTGTTAGGTGGTCGACGAGATGTTGGCCGCCGATATAATCTCCCCATCAACCAGTCCATGGGGTGCTCCCATTGTTCTGGTTAAAAAGGACAGGAGTTTGCGATTTTGTGTGGACTTTCGGAAATTGAATAAGGTCTCCATGGCGGACGCATATCCGCTCCCACGGATGGATGATTCGTTGGATGACCTGTCGGGGGCGCGATTTTTCTCCACCCTGGATCTATTGTCAGGGTTTTGGCAGTTGCCCCTGGATGAAAGTTCAAAACCGTGTTTCGGACTCCGCAAGGGCTGTTTCAATGTATGTGCTTCCGATGGGGCTTCACTCGGCTCCGGCCACGTTTCAGCGACTTTTGGAGTTGGTACTATCGGGGCTCCAATGAGAGTCATGTCTGATCTATTTGGATGACGTAATTGTGTTTGGCCGCACGTTACAGGAACATCTGCAGTGGTTGCATGCGGTATTTGTTAAAATGCGGGCGGCTAATTTGAAATTCAAGCCACAGAAATGTTAGTTCTTGCAAAAATTGGTTCAATACCTGGGGAACATTGTTAGCGAGTCCGGGATCACCATGGTCCCTGACAAGATTGTGTGCGTAAGTGGCCGACCCCCACGTCGGTGGGTGAGGTCCGCAGTTTTGTGGGGTTCGTGTTGTATTACCACTGCTTCATGCCCAGATTTGTGACAATCTTGATGCCGCTCTATGCTCTCACAGCTAAGGGCCAGAGGTTTCGGTGGGGGATGGAGGAGGAAGCCGTATTTGTTACGCTGCGCGACGGCTTCATGAACGCACTCCCCCTTTGATACCCCGATTTCTCCTTGCCGTTTACATTGGACACGGACGCCAGTGATACCAGGATCGGCGCCGTGTTGTCACAGGTGGAGAGCGTGGTCGCTTATGGTAGCCGGGTGGTGTCCCCCACAGAGCAGCGCTATTGTGTTACACTCCACAAGTTGTTGGCTATCGTGCACTTTGTACAACAGTACTGCCTGTACCTCCTATGGTAGGCAGTTTATGGTGCGCACAGATCACGCGGCTTTGCAATACGCGCTATGTGTTAATCAGCCGTCCGTGGGTTGGAAATATTGCAATATTATTAATTCGAATTCACCTAAAGGAAAGGGTTACACCACTGCAACGTGGACACTCTGTCACGGTTATCGCTGAAGAGCCAGTGTGCATGTTTGATGAGCGCCGGCCATTGTAAGCAGGTGAATGTGGGTGGGCCGGGCGCCGTGGTAGCATCGATGGATGCTCCGCCACCCGCACCGGGGGTGGCATGCGATAATACTATTGGTGTTGCACATGAGGAATGGGGGCGCCTCCAAGCGGAGGATGTCTCCTAACTAAAGTTATGGCGCCGTGGTGATGCACCAAGCGATAGCATGGGTCTAGGGAGTACGTCCCCCGTGCTCCTCCGAGATGGGCTACTTATGCGCTGGAATAGGGAAGTACAGCGGTACTGTATCGTGGTGCCAACTGCTCTGCGGGGTAGAGTGGCGAGAGCTGCCCATGTGCGATTGCACCTAGGGGTGCAGAAAACATTGGCTACGTTGAAGCTGAACTTCTTTTGGCCCGGGTTGGCAGAGGACGTTCACAACGTGCTCAAGGGTTGTATAGAATGTGTCCACCGGAAGCGCCCACCGAGACTGACCCGACCACCGCTGCAGTCCATTGGGGTGTCCCGTGTAAACGAGCTCGTTGCCCTCGACATCCTCAGGCCATTTCCTACCACTCCGAGGGGAAATAAATTATTGCTGGTAGGGGTAGAGTACCCGTCACGGTGGCCAGTGACATGGCCCCTACCGGATCAGTTGGCAGCGTTTATTACGGACGTGTTCCTGAATGGTTATGTAACGTCTCCTTACGGACCAGGGTGGAAATCTTTCTTAAAAATTATTGCAAGAGGTATGCGATTTGTTGGGTATGAAGAAAATTCGAACCTCGCCCTACACATCCCCAGACTGACAGGATGGTAGAGCATTTACATAGGACATTTACGTCCATGTTGTGCCAACAAGTCAACGAGGCACAGTCCGATTGGGACCAACACGTTCCGGGAGTTCTTGCGGCTGATCGGATGGCCCCTCATGCCTCTACTGGATTCTCCCCATTTTTTTTTTATCTACGGAAGAGAATGCGACCCCCCCCACCCCCATGGAAGCCAAGTTAAATATTGAGCCAAGCAAAAAGAGTCGCTAAATTACATAGGCCATGGCAGGGCCCGGTGGAGGTAATTGAGGTTAGGAGGCCGCAGTGTGTATGGATCCAGGTTGGTCGTAGGCGTTGGTATCTGCACCCATCACGACTGAAACCATATTTTCCACCTTATGAGGGAAATTCATCTCCACCATCTGATGGCCAGGTGTGTGATGTGTCTGACAGGGACGGACGTACGTTTACGGAGATTTCGCCTCTGCGAGACTCTGTTCTTCCATCCGCAGGATCCCAGGGCGTGACGCACATGGAAACGGCGGCGGTGCCGCCCACAGGCAGACCGGGGTAGACGGTACAACTGCCACCCGCTTCTTCCTCTTCTCCATCTTCGTCCTGGGGGGGACCACGCCATTGGGCCAGCTGCGAGTCACCCCCGGGGTCCCTGGGGGACCCGTGCCAGGTCCATACAAGGGACTGGCAAAAAGGACCCGTTCCAATATGGTTCGGTTCAGATGACCACCCCTACTCATCATTGGATTGCTGTTATTTTGGGGGCTGGATTGTTGCCATACATTGCGAAGTGTTACGTGGATATTGCGGTGTTCGTCGTTCCACTGCGCGACGCATGGAGGTCAGCCGAGACGGCTGGGTGTTTTTTTCACGGGGGGGGGGGGGGGTGGGGGGGGGTGATGTAGTGACATAGAATGAGTCACTGGAGCGTGTGCCGCTGGGAGATTGGTAGACAATAGAATTAGGGGTAACAGTCCGTTCTAACCAGTTGCACCTGTGGGCAAGGCACGGAGCCATCTGGGGGATTTAGAGGGGTGCGGGGCCGCGGGCGGAGCCTGGCCACAATGGGCAGGATATAAGGTGAGCTCCGACTCACAGTCGGGGTTGCTGCGATCTGGAGTGGAACTCGTCGTGCCGTCATCATTGTGATCTTCACCCTCTTCAAGTTGTGGGTCTGGCAGCATGTTGGCTGTCCCGACCCGGTGTGTGGTTATCCCCTAAGGTTATGAAGGCCGGAATAAAAGAGAGAGTACCTCCTACTAGTGTCTGTGAATTAGCACACTACATATGTACCAATCTAGCTACACTTTAATATCAGATGAGGTGGTGACGACTCGCTGGCAGAGGTCATGAGTCAAACCCAGAAGTTATGGGTTAATTGATTAGGGTGATTTACAGATACACTGTCTCTGTCCCCCATTCTTGCAATCCACATACATGTTCAGGATGTGTTCTGAATTTCAAATGAATCCGATACATATGAAACTTTGGCGTACATACAACATTTGGGAGATCCGAAATTTTTTCTAATTAATCTTAAAATATGATGTCGCCAGAAGTAAGGTAAATTCCTGTAAAAGTGTGTTTTTGTGTAACTTCTTAAATTATAAATATATATGTAAGGTTTACATTAAACTGTTAGTTTACCTAATGGAAAGTTCTGTTAAAATGCTTCATTAAATTCCTCATTTAAAATTGTTTAAACGATTTTTTTTTGAGTAAACAATTAAATTTAGTACATTTTGTAAAAATCCGGAGAAAAAAGTGATTCACCTGAAAATGGGCCAAAAAATATAAAAAAACATGAAATCTGAGACTAATCCCAGATGCATGAAAACCGATGCACACTGACACAACATCATACCCGCTAAAGATGCATTTGTGGAGAGAATTGTTCTCTCGCAATGTTTCTTGGCCTCTGTCAGCATGAACATCTGCTCCTCTTTGGTGATGACATCGTCAGAATCGATCTTTCGGAAAGGGTAAAAAAAATCGTGACGCAGCATTAAATTTGAAGCAGCGCATAGCACACACGTCACAAATGTCTGAGACACTTCAGTTATAGGTCAACAGATAAATTACATCAGTAGGAAAATAAATCCCGTTGCTTCACATAATGAAAACATGACTAATGAAAGTGCTTTAAAAATACCAAGCGGAATTCTTGATAGCACTCTGGTACGAATTACTCATTCAATGCATATTCGGAAACCACATTTTAACCCAAATAATTCAATTATCCTTGAATGCTACTCCTGAGCTAGTTACCTCATTCAAAAGATTTTGATACTACATTTACAGTATGACCAGTGACCCAAGGGTCAACTAACACAACTGTATATATTAACATTTAAGTTGTCCTATAGAGAAACTTACCACCACATTAGAAATGCGGAATCTACAGCAATGGCTCAGGACCGGCATCAGACATGAGTGCGATCCAGTTCCAAAGAAAATATGATTCATTGTTGTGTGTTATTCGAAATTAGTTATTGCAATACACGCGATTTCGATTTACCTACATGCATTTCTGTCGGTCACGTTTGCTCAAATATATTTTGATCGTGACCTAAGATATGAGGGACCACAATGCACTTCCTTAGGAAACATTGATGGCTTTTGTGTAATACACAAAGCCTAAGTGCTTTTTACAAATGTTTGCGTGTTTTAAACCACTGTTTTACCTGCGTCCGAACTGAAACACTTGCAAATGGTGAAAACTCAATCGCCCTATTAAGTAAAAAAAAAATGGGATGCCACAACAATTCCAAAGGATTTACATTGGCTTTCCATATCCAAGGGATGCGAATTTTAGATCCTCATGTTAACCTATACAACCTTCAATAAAACGGATATATATCCAATTAACTTCATGTTTACACTCTGGGAAGAGCCCTTAAATGAGCATACCGCTCTCCATGCAGCTTCCACGTGTTTGAGACTGACTGATAGTCAGAATATCTTTAGGTTGTGAACTTTATGTTGTGGCAGAGGTGATCCTGCAGGAGAGCCTTTAAACACGCGTGCAACAAAAAATAACGTTTGGAATATTAAGATTGGTTACGAGGAAATTAATGCGGGATTAAAAAATATGTTGCCAACAAACTTTAAATGGGGCATTGTTCATGACTATCCGTGTTTATCCTGCATATATCTTTCCGGTTAGTAACCTCAGCTAGTTGGGGTGACGACCGCGATTTTGCCCACAAACAAGCAGATATGTCCATATCGCTAAATTAGTACAATCTTCCAATGCAAGCATCGCCCTCATGAACACAACTGCTCTGCTCATAGCACACCTGCACACATTACTTCTTGCTGAAGGAGTTTCAGGGCAAATTTACTCACTGTATATTTTTAGGGAACGCTGTCGGTTTAATTTGGTGAAGGGATTATTAGCATTAGGCATTAGTCCAGCGTACAAGTTATGGTTATTCATCACAATCATTAATTATATTACCATATATTTCTATAATATTCAAATTGAGCCTTGGGTGGGGTGGCTTGGCACTATAATTTTCACCTTTTTTCAACAAATTCACCACTGGTTTGCATGGAGTTGACAGGAGGAATTGTCTAATCATGCCGTTTGCTCGAAATTGGATGCTAAACACCCATTCACAAATATTTAAATATTTACTGTTGGAAAATGTAATCATTGACCGAATGAATATAGTATTCATAGCTGACTTATTTTACACTTAATATGGATGATTCGTATGTATGTATGTTTACATGGATTAGCACTGCTGCACGATGTCCCTTTGGGTATGTTTTCAGACGTCAATATGAGTGACTCAGAATGTGTTGGGCAGTCTTCATGTTTTTCACCTTCACTTGCACCATTGATTATAAATATATGCGGTTGTGTTCGTTGAAGTTAGGTGAATGCAGCTTGTAAAAATACTTCTAGGTAATTGTAATACTTATTACCGAGGATTTTTATGGATTACGCGTATATGCTAACGAAACAAGCAATCTGAATTTTTATAATGAATATTTCAGTGCACCCAAACCGATTGTGGCTAAATTAACATCTTAATTTGAATCATAGCTTGTGAATGGAGAGTGACATGAACTGAAATTGTAACCCTAAAAACTGACATAAATTTTACATAGTGTGAACAGGGGCACAACCATAAATCAGAACCCACGTGACTATCATCATATTAAAAGGGATAATCATTGAATGTAAACCGGAACTGCATGTCATAAAAAGGGCATTGGCTCTCAGTGCACACACACCCCAAAGTGTATCAATGTCCTGCAAATTTGCAGGCACTGGAATAAGAGCCAGGAGCCCTCTACAGAAAGAGTAACACACTTAAATTTTGACTTAAAACTTTCGTGACTGTAGGAATTCATATTCTATGGTTCTTTCGGTAAAGTCACTTAAAAATAAATAATAAAAATAAAATAATAAAAATAAAGATAATACAAATATCATGACGTTTCGATCACAATACAAGTAGTCGTCATCAGGAACAGGGAGGTTAGCCTCTGAGGACAAGCTGTTTATAAATGTTTAAAGATGGGTGGGGCAGCTAATGTTAATGTAGAAGAAAGCTCCGACACCGGCAGTAGGTCTACACCAATCAAAGCATTGCACCTCGCTCCACACACCCACACTGCTGACTGTGGAGGTTGACAGGAAAACACAAATCAAGTCATGATCCAAAGTGGTTGATGACATCTTTCCAATGATCGCTCAGTCTATAACCTTCCTCTCAGTTGAAACTGTCTCTGTGTCTGTATATATGGATGGCTTCATGAACGAATTTTTGTTGACAACCAGTAGGCTTGCAAAATACCATCGTCTTCGAGAAAACTATTTCGTGTGAGCAAGCCGCAATAAAATAATGATCGGCCATAATGATCAGCCACGGCAGAAGTATTAGTCCTACAATGTTGCAAATCTGCCTTATGTTCACGGACACGGTCCGAAACATGTCGCTTAGTTTCCCCAACGTAACTGCTGTCTCAAATACAGCTTTGTTTGTAGACGCTGGGATATTGTATGTCAGGAATCTTGTCTTTCACAGATGGGATCAGATCATGAATTGTATGTACTGTGTTAAATCGGACCTGGATCTTGTGTTTGTTCATGATTTTGGAAATAGTTTGGTTACCCCTGCTATGTGAGGCAGGGTGATGGTTTTCATTGGATTTTCAGATGGCTCCTTCCTAACGGTCGGGGTGTTGGCTTTGCAGATCCGTAGTCAGAATATACATTCGCCTTGAGAGCTTGGTGTATGTGTTTGAGTCCACTGGTTAGGTTTTCATGGTCGGAGATACATTGAGCTCTATGGTGTAGCGTTTTGATGAGGGAATTCTTCTGGGATGGATGGTAGTAGGAATCAGGTTTTAGGTAGGCATCAGTATGGGTTAATTTTCTGTAGACAGAATGGCTCATTGAGCCATCTAATCTCTTTTTTCTTAGGACATCCAAGAAGGGTAGCATGCCATCCTTTTCTACCTCCGTGGTGAATTTGAGGGCTGGGTGTATGGAATTGATGTGGTTGAGGAAATTGGTTTAGAGCTGGTCGGCCATGTGGCCAGATGAAAAACGTGTCATCTACATACCTCTTCCACAGGGACGGGGGTAGAGTGGATGCCTGGATGGCGTCCGTCTCAAAAATTTCCATGAAAATATTGGCTACAACCGGAGATAAGGGAGAACCCATTGGGGTGCCTTCAGTTTGTATATAGAAAGTGACATAACCCCTGACTGCAAAAACTTGAGAGAACCCTCCTGAAAATAAATGTTTCATAACTGGGTAAGGAAGGCACATACAAATAAAAAACTAAACAAAAAATATCTTTTTAAATGTTACTAGGTAAGGCCCACTTAGCTATATAGTTCTTTTTCAGAAGCGACCTGGCCATAAGTGATAGCTCAACGACATGATTTATTAACAGAAAGTGTGTACCGGATTAATTGCACTAGTGGCAAATGCTATGTTGGGCAAACAGGACAAATAATCAGCACCAGACTAAAAGAACACCAAATAAATATTAAATACTCCCAAATACAACAGTCAGTAGTGACAGAAGACGCGTGCCAACAAAGACACTTAATTGATTTTGATAATGTTTAAGTTCTGTGCAAAACTAGTTAATACTGGTCAAGACTAATTAGAGAATCTATGGAAATTGAGAGAAATAAAAATAATTTTAACCATTCGGATAGCTATAGACGTTGTGCTGCTTGGAAGCGAATCATTAAATAATACAATATAAAAAATGCATGCCTATACAGGTCACCATACTTCAATAGGGATTCCCGTTGGTACGGCTATTTAAGTACACAAAATCGACAGGAAGTACAAGAACAATAGGCTTGCATAATGTGCATGTATAATGTACGTTTTAAACCATATAAATAACCCAAACGGCAATGGGTACCCATAGTCATTGATATGCAATCACGAATCCCCCATCACGTCGCGCAAGAAGAGCACACAAGCGTTGTGTGCTCTATTTAAGGAACGAAACAGGAGGATTTCTCCACGAATCTGGCTGTCGCCTGATGAAGCTAGTTGTACTTACTGGCGAAACGTCGTACTCATATTGTAAATGCTGTGGCTTGGCTCTCCAGCACACCGGTGTGTTGTACTAGTATACTACACTATACACTACACTATACACTACACTACTATACACTACACTACTATACACTACACTATACACTACACTACTATACACTACACTACTATACACTACACCACTATACACTACACTATACACTACACTACTATACACTACACTACTATACACTACACTACTATACACTACACTATACACTACTACATACTACACTATACACTACACTATACACTACACTATACACTAGTGCTGTACTAGTAACGAATTGACACGTTCTGTTTACGTGACAAACCTTACTAATTGGCTGTGTCGGGTGGTGGCGGCTTCAATGACACATTTATATATTTACGCGATCTGACCCTAAAATCATGAATTATGCATGATATTGGTCGCGAAAGCCTACGTGTTAAACTGAATTATGGTAAAAATAACGGATGAAATATGATGATAAACGAGGATCATGATTGATGACGATGTTGATGAGAATTACTGATGATGCACCAACCCTTATTTAAGGTTGAGTCTTCCCTAGGGGATGCTCAAATCTGAGTTTTTCCATGGCTGGGAATTTAACTTAGGTAAGTGGTGTTGTAGCAAAGTGAGCAAGCCACTGCGCCACGACTCCCCACTTAAATATTCGAAAAGCAAAGGCAGTGACTTCACAAATGGCGGTAAATTAATTGTATTGTTCAAGATGAACGGTAAGGTTAATTAGAGTGATCAATGCTAGGAGGAAAACATACCTGGATAACAGTAACACAAATTGCTAGTTAAAATGCAGACACGGAAAGATTGCATATCCTTTCCGTAATACTCAAAATGTATAGTCTTCCCTCGTTATTCGCGAGTGATACACTCTGGAGATGCTCGTGAACAGCACATTTCGTGGATAATGATGTTTGCCTACGAAAACCTTTTTTTAAAATCATTTACCTTATATAAATTCGTAAATACGCTGTTAAATACGTATACATCATCATTGACGCAAACCTTTTAATTGGTTGTAATGATCTCTTTACCTCATTATTTTCACTCTCATCATTTTATCTCATCACTCTCTCTCGATGCAGTCATGTAGAGTTCCAGATGCGATTCGCAGACAGCCAAATAATCGCGGATATCAAGTGCGTGTATAACGAGGGAATACTGTAGCAATTAAAAAAATGTAGTAAATACACAAATGTGCAACTCACACAGTTTTTGTTATATTCGGAGGCACAGGAAAACACAGACAAACGGGAAGGCAGCCAGAACCAGCACCAACGTGTGCTCAATCTCTGTGGCTCTATATTGGGATATTTGGCCAACTCCATGAATTAGTGTTTATGCCTGTGGGAGCAAACCGGAGGAAACCCAGGTGTGCAAGGGGGGCAACAATCCACTGATAAGTGGAGTCCTCTTAACACCATTTCCATCATGGGTGTTTGACCGTACTGAGCTGCGAGATGGCCAGAAAATGGCAGAACAGCAATGGATCACTGAATATTCACAATAATTTTTTGCATTAGATTGCGTAAATACAAATATGTCGTTCACCAACCCCCACCCGACACAGCCAATTAGCAAGGTTTGTCATGTAAACAAAACGTGGCAAATAGTTACTAATTCAGCATACCGGTGTGTTGGAGAGTAGAACCACAACATTTACAATTCGAGAACGAGGTTTCACTGGTGATTACAACCAGCTTCATCAGGCGATTTGCCAGAATTGTGAAGAAAAATTATATTAGTCACGAAAGCCTACGGGTTGAATATATAGTTTCCTCTCATAGACCAAGCACCCGTTTGAACTCAGATGTTCTCCCGGGACCACTATCTCGTCTGCATCATCTTCTATGTCAAAATTGTCACCATCGGCAATATCATCATCGTCATGGCCATTTTCATCATCTGCTGCATGCAACAGGTCATTATCATCCTCATTACCATCAAAGCAGCTGTGACATCCTGATCATCTTTCCATATCATCATCGTTTTTTCGTCTTCATGTTCCTTTGTAATCATATAATTATCAATATATCCATGAACACTTCATCACAACGTTCATATGACATTAACGTTAATTAAAGTAATCTTTTGGTATTTCAAAATAATGTTGTGTTAAAAAGCAACGCATTTCACAAAATATCCCAATCATGCAATATTAATTTTGATATTAAATAGCTATTAATAATATTGATTTTAAATGCACATATATTTTGCATGCATAGCAGTAGTTAATCCAAACATTATACATGATGATTGAAATAAATAAAATACGAATTGCTTGTCTCCAAGTGCATGTATGTAAATAAAGAGGAGTAAATGTATTGTGAGCATAAAATTAACGTAACCAAGCTCAAACCCCATCTGTTTTCAGCCACTGATATTGATGTTAGGGTTTTACATTCATGGTAATCGCTGGGAGTCTGTTGCATACATTTACATTCTCACCTAACTTCATTGTTGCATGCATGGTTGCAAAATATTATATACAAAGAAAAAAAGCAAGTGGTTCATACAATATTTTTGGGGCACATCCTCGTGAGTAAAATGTGTGTTGCACATCCCTCCACCACCCAACAACGCCAATTAATAAAAGTGTCACGTCAACAAACGTGTCAATCTGGCTGCTTCATCAGCACCACCGGTGTGGCGGACAGCAATCCACACCACTTAGCAATTTCGTACAATGTCCTGTGTGTCTAAATACCAAACATTCCATATAACACATGCTCACATTAACTTTATTTTCAAGCTATTAAAAATAATGTCGTCACTTCCACAAACAAATTAATAACACGAGCAAAAATGTTTTACGTCCCTCAAGCAGTCAAGTCACCGCTCGATAAAGGCCACCGCATGCACGTGTTAGTCATAGAGGTTGTTTGGCCATACTTCACCACGCTGGTCAGTGTGTATTTATGAAGGGTTTTGGGGGTGGGAGTGTTCCAGAACTGTTTCAGATATCACTCTCCACGAACGTTAGCCGTGGACGACAATCGAACGATCACGTGTGCACATTGGTTTCAGTCAGTGTTAAGCACAATTATTTAAAATGCACTTAAAATATGAGAACCGCCGACTGACTAATTTACACTTCAAAAAAAATAAAATCAAGAGGCACGACCATTATGTTTCTCACCTGTGCGTAGACGTGGGCACACACCAGCAGGACATGCACGTGCAGTGCCCGTGCATAGAATCCCATTGCGGACCACCGACTCGATGCACAGCAGTAGCAGCAGCAGTGGCAGATAGACACCAGAGCGTGCGTCCCCCCCTCTTTCCGCGTGTGCGTCTTCCTCTGGCTCGCTCTCTCGCTCCCTCTCTCCTGCTACACCACTTCTCTGTGTTATACGGGACGTATAGGATCCGCGTGCAGCCTTGTATCTCTAGCGCTCGGCCGAAATGAATCGATGTCAGTGGGGCTTTTCAATTGCATGGCGGTGCGAATTAATTCCAAGCGTTCACATTGATTTTGCTTCCCTCCCTCCGCACTCCTCCCCTCTCCCTGCTCTCACGCTGCCTCTCCCTGTCTCCCTTGAGCCCGTCACGCCTTGATAAGTTCACACGAGCGGCCACAGTGTGCATGGCAGGACTAACACGCCGGCTATAATGTGTAAGTTATACAGAGTGGCCCAAAAGTCAGGACACATAGGGTTATTTCATTTAACACTGCCATTAAATTTTTTTCATTCTTTATGTTAATATTTTTTTCTTATAATTGCTAATATCTATTTTCATTTGCCTTTTCAGATGAAATTAAAAAAATGGAAATAAAACTGGTGAAAGGTGAACAAGTGCAATTAGTTATTATATATGCTTTTTATATATGCAGCTGTAATATTTTAAAAAGTCCTAATTCATTTCAAAATAGAATTCATGCACGCGTTGATGTGAATGGAAGTCAATTTGAACGTTTGTTAAAATAAATATAATAACCTTGTGTCCTAACTTTTGGGCCACCCTGTAACTCCGATTAACACAGTTGGCTATGTACGGTGCGAAAGAAGTTCAACATACATACATAACACTGCGTGCTCATGTGTGTGTGTAGAGCTACACATCTAATCGTACTTGAGGCGAAAGCGTAGCCCTAATAAAGCAATTGTACAGCATTCATTATCTCCTTTTGCAGCTCTGCCTTGTCGTGGCAATACCACATTCCCATAGTTAGGATCAGATCTCTCTCGGATGACCACCCACTTTGTGGGCTTCACACAATGTGGGATACTTGGTGTATTGACCCAAGAGAGATGATGGGTTTAGCTGACCCCCAACTTGGAATTGATCTCACAACTATCCCATTGTGAATTGTTTCGTCCAATTATGTAAGCCAGATACAATATATCCACTGTGGGATGAAGGACTCCCTAATCCAATGCCATATCTCACGGCCTAGCGATATAACAATCTGATTCCTGCACGTGAGCTGATTTCATCATTTCATTGTGCCCTGGTGTCCTCTCAAGTATGTAGGTGGAGGAAGTTGCAGAGGTAGTGATGGGCAAGACCGTGGATGGATTTCAATGCGAGGACAGGGATCTTGTAGTCCACACGCTCGTGGATGGGAAGCAAGTGAAGTGAGGCCAGGACTGGAGTGATTGGACTGCAAGCAAAGAGGGCATTGGATACATCTATCCTGGATGTGATTAAAGTATGGACCAGGGCCTAAACAGCAGTTGGGGTGTAGTAAGGATGGAGGCGGGCAATGTTGCGGAGGTGGAAGCAGGCGGTCTTGTTGACTGAGCAGGAAGTAATCTCAGCTTGGGGCGCAATCTTTAAATCATTCTTCTAAAACCGACTTGAATCACAAACCGATTAGCTTCTTATTGCACACAATTCATTGTTCATGACAAACATTTAGGAACCATACAACAGACAATTGAGAGGTCAACCAACTGCCACAAGCAAGCTGGATGAAGGACATATTTCTCTACCATCAGCCACATTCAATCAATCAAATTCTGGAGAAAAACGTGATGAATGTGAAATGCCATCATACCTGTCCTTTGCAGCAGGCTATGAAACAGGCATTTGACAAAGTAGAAATTGATGCGGTCTTACAAGCTCTCGAAAGGCAAGATCCATTAATATATGTTAGTGTGTATATATGTGTTAGTTTCTATCGACAGATGGTTTGTCTGATTTGACTCTCTAATGTTAAATGCTCATGATGTAATCATATGTATGATTTTTGTGAATGTATTTTGCAAAATCTAACATTATTTTTTATTTTGCAGTGTTCGTTATGTTATTTAAAAGAACAATAATTATACAGGACGTAAAAAGGCTTAAAAAATGTAAACTAAATAGAATAAATGTACACACATATCTACCAATATGTACTGCGTTCACAACATAAAAGCAGCAACGTCGCACTTATATAATGAGCACATAGATCTTGACTTAAAGCTCTCGTGACTGTAGGAATTCAAATTCTTGGGTCTTTCGGTAAAATCACGTTGATAGAGTTTTGATGAGGGAAATCTTTTGGGATGGATAGTGGTGGGAGTCAGGTTTTAGGTAGGCATCCGTATGGGTGGCTTTCCTGTAAACATTGTCCCTTTGAGCCATCTGGTCTCTTTTCGATTAAAACATCCAAGAATGGTAACTTGCCATCCTTTTCCACCTCCATGGTGAATTTCAAACTTGTGCTTTCTTCACAGTTGCTTCGTGCGCCGACCCCGTGGTTACGGCGCTGCAATCCTCCATTAACATGCTAATCTCTCTTCAACATGCGAATTTTCACCTGGCAGCCCTTTGATTGGTGGAAAACGAACCACCGCCGGGCTGGCTGCCGAACACTTACATTATCATTGATTGCTGACATTTGGGCTACGCTCATTCCAAACCCTTATAAAGTTTCTCTTGGAAGCTAACCCCCCTTTTCCTGAAGACGACCGCTTGCGTTGCGATGGAAACGTAGTAGTTTTTTAGTTTTTTCTTTGAACCTATCTACGTGACTTTACCGAAAGACCAAAGACTATGAGCACATATATGTTTTAAATGCAGTTGCATGTACATATGCTACAGTTAATGTTAATGCACATGCTATGCATATGCTGCATATGCTATGCATATGCAGTATTCCCTCGTTATTCGCTAGGGGATACGTTCCGGAGATGCCCGTGCATAGCAGATTTTACGAATAATGATATTGGTCTAAGAAAATATATCTTTCTCATAAATTACCTTCCATAAATAAATATGCAAATAATCTATTAAATACGTGAACATTATTGTAATAAAAAAATGTTATAATAAACAAGGTAAATACAATGTAATATTAAAGTATTAAATAACAGTTAATAAATAAACTTAGCTTTAAAAAAATAAGGACATCGAGAAATTGCTTTATCTCATCACTTAATCTCATCACTTTCTCTCTCCTGATACAATCGTGTAGAATTGCAGATGCGATTCGCGGATAACCAAAATTGCGGGTTGCAAGTTTGTGAATAACGAGGGAATATTCACATTATGCCATTCTGTGTATGAATGTAGAATAGTATTGCTACGTGCAAACAAACAATTGAAAAACACCATTATCAAGTTGCATATCAAGCCATGGCCAAAAATGCAACCATCATGTTTTCAATACATTAATACGAACAAATAATAGACCGCATGTAAGCACATCGAGAAATTGTTTCCTAAGCAGAATAGCCTAGTGCAAAAACGGAGCATAATGCAAATGACAACACGTCGGGAATTCTAAAAAAGAGATGCAAATTGCAAATGCGTGGCTATATATCACTGGAGACCCACCGGATTCAAATTGCGAAAATGACACGACAAAGTACATTGCTATTTAGTTTGACATGAGCCTTCGTGACAGATATGTACAAGTTTTAATTTAACGTTTGAATGACTGACCTACAGGACTTGCATACAGTCACGATACAAACACAATTTATTCCATTTGTAAATTAAAATGAGATTCTGAAATTTCAGCATCCTTGTTCCATCTTCATAAATCATTTTTATTCGGACACTTGGTTTGTGAGTACCTATCTGACCGTATAACTTTTTAATTATTCAACTTTTCATAGTCTACATAAGTCAGGTACAATGGTATTGCAATGCATTTATCCTTTATTCACAATCTGATTGATAGGATGTATATGTCTAATGATATATATTTAAAAAATCCACTTATATATCCAGCTTTATTGCTTGGGTGGCTGCCCGCGGAAATGCTGATTCTTTCATGTGATTATTTGCATGGTAATGTACCTTTATAAGAAAGTCTAACCATTACACCACAGCGACATCCAACGTAATTTTATCACAAGTAAATTTAAATAGTACTAATAATTAATTGTGTTAGGAAATTAACAAAGAAGTTGTTTCTATGTAAGTAATGAAAAAAATATTCTGCTTAAATCCACGATGGGAAAATAAATACAAACACTTACCTACGTGCTCAGGAGGGTGTTCGTCGATTCATTGCAAAACCATTTTGAAGAGGGAATCAGTGTGATATATTGCCATGTGCATATCGTTGAGAATTGCGAGTCACGTAGAGAGCCACTAGAGTTTGATCTTTCTGAAAATTCGCACTGCAGTCAAAACCATAAAAAAGTCACAATCGTGCACCCTTTTAAGGTCAGGGCAACACCAGCCCAGCGCATCAACAGCAGTCCATCTTTCGCACACCCTTAAATCAATATATGCACGCAATTCTCATTGTCTGCTCACTCTTGTGTATAACTCAGTGGTGGTCAATACACCAAACGCTGTAATCCATTTTGAGGCGCCTCCTTCCCCCTCCTCGGCGTCAACTTACAACCCTCACTACAAAGGCAGAACCCTCACGTCACGTGATCTCCGTAACGCTGTTGAGACATCAAAGTAAAAAGGACGTCATGATGAACAAGGGGTTATAACCTTTAAATGAAATAAGTCCGTGTCACCGCGCCCTTACAAATTGCACACGAATGGATGCAATGAATACCACGTCGCGATCTGCTTTTCGCTTGCAAGTTTCAGATTTACTGCAATAAACCCGTCCTTGGACGGGCAAAAGGCTAGTTCACAAGATTAACCCAAAGCCCACATTTAATAAACAAAAACTACTGTATATAATAAAATTACTGTTCCTATATTACTATACATATAGGTCTCCATTGAAAAATAATTCACATTATTGGCCTCTCGTCTCATCATAATATCATCACCTCATTCATGGCCATGACCAATTCACCAAAAAGTTACAATTTCTTGACATAGCTCAGCTTTCAGCATCATTTTTTTGTTGGTCCCAGTTCACAAACCCACACATGTGGAACAATGAATTAACAAGAAGGGCTGTATACATACATATGCGACTTTAATCTGAACTTTACTGTGCTTGGCAAAGCCTCGCTGCCCAAAAT